CTTTCTTTATGCTCCGGGATGGGGTCCTGGATAGTGATGGAGTTAAGACGCTGGAACGTGTTGAGCCTCTGCAGGCGATACAACTTGAGATTTTGGAGCACCATCTTGCAAGTGCCAAAGGGACGTCACGAAGAATCAGGAACTGCGGACTTCGCGGAGTAGAGGGACAAACTTAAAAACCTTATGCAAATTGAAGTGACAACCGCGTACAAGGGTGTAAACGCGTGCTATCTCGACAAAAGGAAGCGTCTTTCCTCCAGACAAGTGTGCGATTGTCCAAGAGGGACTGGATTTATGGGTGTGCCCCCTGACCAGGCCCTGGCAAGAAGAAGACTGTCTCAATTAAGTCGTTAGATGCAGGCTAATAAGTCCCGTGGTTCACTGTCGTCTAATTCCACCGTTATTCTTGTCGTTCCAACAAATATTTCACTTTTCGATCTGATTCTCCTCAAGACAGTCAACAACGATGAGATGAATAATAATTCTTCACATACACCGAATATACTCTCGCTTTCATTCGATAAATACAAGACAATCCACAAACACTGTGCTCAGTATAAATAACAAACAGTTTACACAAACATCCGTGAGTGCCTGACAAACCGTCAACGTTTCTCACAAGGAAGTCCTCGCGTGTGCAGCCGAGTCTCCAGACGTCGGAGGGAGCGAGAGGTAAACAAACGTTGCCGCGCGGCCCAGAGAGAGCGACCAACCCGAGGCCGTGCCAGCGAACGTTGTACTGCGAGCCGAGCACCAGCTGGGGTCTGGCGTCCGCCCAACCTGGCGAGTCTTGCGTAGTCAAAGGTGGTGCGGGACGAGGCAGCGGGCGCTCGGGTTCAACTTGCTGGATGCACTTGCGTTTTTCAGTTAATGCAAGATGCAGTGTTTTAATCCTGATGATTGTATAGTTAAGGATCCGATGGTTTACTTGATCTTAAGAAAGAGTTCTCCCACTTTCACTTGTAATTAGTATTCCATTTGGTGTTCGTTTATAAACCCAATTCCTTATACGTCGTTAACCTTCATTTGATTCAGAATCCAGCAGTTACAATTTTTTTCTTAATATGTGATCAATAATCCGAGCTAAATCGATGATGGAGACTGTGTTGCTTTCAATGAATCAAGACGTCCACAGAACTCACGTATTACGAATTGCTTTACTTTAAGTTGGTCTTCCAAAATCTTGGGTGGCTTAGGGAATAATTCAGCTCACTAGCAGCACGCTTAAAATATTTTATGGGAGCTTACAATAATAAACTTGTAAAAGTCATGAAGTACACGAGTCCGATGCAGAACATCACAACTTTGAACAAATAAAAATAGGATAAATGAACAGTCTTCAGCTTAAAGAACTCTTCTAGCAGACAGAAATGGCTTCTTTTTTAGACAGAGTCGAGCTCCTTCGCGAAAAGCCGTCCAGAATTGCCCCTCTCAAGCGACGTCCGCCACGCGCTCGCACGAACTCCTGACCCTCGCCCGGGGCAGACTTGACCTAGAGTGGTTCCCGGCCGCCTCAGACTTCCTTCTTATATAGGTCGAGGTGTTCGTGATCCCGGAGACGCGCGTCCTGGCACTCCTGCTGCCTGACCGAGATGACACCCTACACGCCGGGGTGCCAACGCCGCGCGCCGCTTCCAAGCTTCCACTTCCTGCTGAGGGGGTTTGTTTACTTGTTTTTTTCTTTCTTTCTTTGTGTGTGTGGGGGGGGGGGGTAGTTCAGCCAGAGATAGTTTCTTGAAGAAGTTCTCTTCCGAATTTATAGGAGTAATCAACACGAATACAGGAGAAGCAGTGCAAAACGGAGCGTATTCAGCGTCGCGAGCGCTCAGTAATTGGTTCAAGGGTAACCTCTGACAAGACGTAACTTTAATAAGCACCCTACGGAAACGCGCTCTGATCCCCTGCAATTTTTCAGAAGAGTGACTTATTGCAGTCTCGAATAAAAAATGACTGGGACGAAAAAAGGTTTGCCCGACTGTCGTGTTGGCGGAGCTCGAAGGCAGCTGTGTATGCTTCGTTCATTCAGATCGATGCCACACACACACTCGCACACACTGACGTGCACACACGCACATGCAAGCCCTTGCCCTAGATACGCACGGGGCGAGCCTGCATCCCTTGGGCCCGTCGTGTCACACGATGCTCAGGTACCGCCGATAATCGCAGATTGATCGCCGATTGTTACCACAAAAAGCTCTTCGGGATTCATACGTAAGTCATGCCTTGATTCTTTATTCAGCAGGATAATTCTTTCCTTCTAGCCGATACTTTTTCGTAGAATTTTGATTAGGATTGATTCTTGTGCAACTGGGACAGGTGCAGGTGGCAGGCGCCGATGGTAGTCGAGAGATCTGAGGAGAAAAAAGACAGCTTTGATTGACAAGGTATTCGAGTCTCAGTATTTAGCTTCCTATATTTCTCTCGCGCTTGAATGCCACTCCACTATTCCGGCCCTTGGCTATCACTCTCGCAGGAAATTTTCAGTCGCTGTCAAAGGATGGAGCAGGACAAAATCAAAATCAAAAGCGAGCAAGGAAACACATTTTGTATAAGGAGACAAAACACACTTCGAATTCGCGAGTCTTGAAAGGTTTAAAAAAGTCAAAACTGTACGAAGTCTAGGTAGGCAAGGAGCGTAGGTAAGATGACTCCGCTGGCGGCGTGTGGCAACGGAAAGGGCAGGCCGTGTGACCTGTTTACACTGGCGAATCAATGGACGACTGACGCATAAAAAAGTAGGATAAGCGTAATCAGGGAAAGCATGTGTTGTTATGCCTGACACTGTTCTCCCAGATTTATAGCTTGTTAACACATGCACTATCGATCGTTCATACCCTGACAACTGTATCCTATGACAGGATCTCTGCGCTCGGTGACGTAACACGTGTTTTGGAGCATAAACAGTAGCTGGTAATCTCCTCTCAAGGTGAAGGCGTTTTGCGTCAGTTATACGAAGGACGCACGTACGTTTTCGAAATTGCGCTCCTGTGTTGGTTTCAGGATAAATTGAACTTTGAACGTTCAAGAAAATGCTAACGCAGCTCGGCTATAAAGTTTTACAATCTCGCTAACCGCTGCTTCCTCGATTAAGAGATGATGACGTGGTAATTGGTGGCGGCGAGGGAGACGGGGAGGGGTTGCGGGCAGTATTTAAGTGGTCTAGATCTCCTTTTCTATGATTTATCTTAATTTCTCCTTAATATGCTTCATTAACAAGGTCGATATACTTTGTGGCTTTCTTGATTATTTAATAAAGCTAATTCACTCGTCATAAAATCGCCTTAGATTTTCCGAAATAAAACACCCACCGCAGAGAGTTTTTTTTCTGCACGGCGGGAGGAGAGAGGGGTTTTGTTCTCCAATTATATGGGTTTGGAGGAAAAAGAACCGAAGGCGTTGAGAGTGAAGATGCGTTCTCAAAAGATATAGAGGCTGTTGCAACACGAGGTCTTCTTGTCTCTCTTTTTCCTTTTCGGTCGACAGAGAGAAGGACGTTGAGTGACAGAGAGAAGAACGTTGAGCGACAGAAAATTCGGTTTACTCTTCTGCTTTTCGAGAGTGAGACGTCGTTCGCGTGTCGTTCCAGTCACGTGATAACTACAAACAGGGGCTGAAAAAGGTGCTGCAACGGGGCCGAATTCACACGATGTTTTTTAACCTTGTTCTTGTTTGAATTTTTCTCCTCTTGGAGTGGAGCTGCAGTCGCTTTTTACAGAGCCTATTTGGTCGACGTTCACGAGGAACCACTGTCGAGGGCGTTCTCTTCACGGAGAGGACGTGGGCGAGGTAGTGCTCGAGATTCTTTCCCATTCACCTTTGAGTTAAGAAACTTTTCAAAAGACGATAAGACTTTTTTCCAGGCTTGCGGCAAAATACCTTTGATCCTTATACACTCACACTCACAACACCAAACTAAGAGTCAGCACAGAGGACGGACAAGAACGCCACAGAAACAACACAAATCCAATGGAGATTCCTGCCAAGCACCACAGAACGACAGCACGACCGAACACGGTGGAAAACGACAGCGACGTCACACGAGGACCCTGAGACCCGCTTCTCCGAATTAAAGGGACTCGAACTCTCCGCGAGGAGGGCCACTGACTCTTGCGTCTTCACAGGATATCCTTCTGTCACCGAAGGCGGAATAGGATGTACACGATGATCCTACTGTACCAGAGGATAAAAGGATATGAGGGTATAATGGGCACGTCTCGGGCGAGAGAGTTTCGCGGGAGGATGAGGAAGGAGGAGGAGGAGGAGGAGGAGCAAGAGTTCTCTTAGAGGAAACTCTCGGGATTCAGAGGAGGATCAGAAGGAGCAGGCGAGGAGGGGGAGGGAGGGAGGGAGGACGGGGGTAGGAGTTTAAGGTGTGTGTCCTGTGACAGGAGGCAGGCAGGACTTCACACCTGGTCTTGAGGGTGGTCAGGAGGGCACTGAGAGCTCGCACCGCGCTTTCTTCAGCCGCAGACGCGACCTCCACCGGCTGATAGTAAGGTCATCTAGCTTGGCCAAAAAAGAAGGGGAAAATGCGGTCACCGAGACAGGTGACAGCAAATAAACACAAGCTCCCTCGCGACAGGACAACTAATACGAATATCGCCGGCCATAAAATTAGCATCTTAGTCTCCAGGCGGCCGTGAACGCAACACTCGAACCGGCCATCCTGCTCTCCCTTCGCATATACTTTTCCACTGCGTATCTCCTTTATCGGATCTCGCTCGCCTCTCTCGCAACTCCGCTGGTTTACGTTTTTCCTTCTTCGCTTCAATTGTTTTACGGAAGTTTTGACTCTTTTATTTTTGACCGTTCTTTTTTCCGCAGCGTCATTGTCAACTTTACGGAGAATTTCACTGTACTTCTTGCTGTCCTTCTGGGGAATCGCACGTAGTGAAAGTTATCTCCTTGTCATTCAGTTTAGAAGCGAGATAAAAATAACACAAAGAGAAAGAGAAAAGAAAAGACAGTGAGAGTGAGATTGATTATATAAAAATGAACAGTGAAAGTTTATGTGCGCCGTACATAGGATGAAATGTGCGTGAGGACGAGCGTTTGTTCGTCCTGTCTAAATGTACAAATTGGAAAACTTTTTTCTTCGTTTGTCACGTAACTTCAAGTAATTCCCACGCCATTGCCCGGTATATATTTTGCTACATATAATACTATCGCCATTTCACTGATCTTCACCCTATTCTGATATGGCATTAGTACTGATAATAATTATCATTTTTTTCCTTCAACGTTTATTCTAATCCTGTCAATCGTTTTTTTACATTTTGAAATAGACAAGAAATAAAACACGATTTTGACTCTGGATTCGTATTTTCCGATGCAGTTAAGAAGGGGAGGATGAGTAACAGGGATTGAAGAGAGGGAAAAAAAAGAGAAGAGGAGAGAGAGTGACGGGAAAGGAAGAGGGAGAAAGGGAGAGAGGAGAAACGAGTGGTGAGGAGAGGCGAGGAGAGGAAAAAGGAGGAGAGAAGAAGAGAGGAGAGAGGAAGGGGAGTGGGAGAGAGAGGAAGGGGAGTGGGAGAGAGAGGAAGGGGAGTGGGAGAGAGAGGGAGAGGGAGGGAGAGGGAAGGAGAGGGAAGGAGAGGGAAGGAGAGGGAAGGAGAGGGAGGGAGAAGGAGGGAGAAGGAGGGAAAAGGAGAGGGAGAGGGAGGAAGAGGAGGAAGAGGAAGAGGAGGAGGAGGAGGAGAAAAAGATGAGAAGAGAGAAAAGAGGAAGAACAAAGACAGTGAAAGAGGAAGGTAGAAGAGAAAGCATGGGAGAGAAGGAGAGGAGGAAGGAATAAGAGGAGGAGG